GCCGGGAGCTGGAGGCCGCGCCGTGCGGGAGCCGCCTGCCGCGGGCCCGTCCGAGCTCCCTTCGGGAGGGCTTTTCTTGGCGGCCGCTGGGCGAGGATCTGCGCCCGTGCAGGGTTTCCGGGATCCCTGCCTCGTTAAACACCCACCCCCCCCTTCAGACTGAAAGCCTTGAGTGATTTAAACCTTCAGAAACTTAGGGGGGGTTTGTGTTTTATTGCGACACTGCTCTGTAACTCGGCAGAGCGTGGCTGAGATGTGCGCTGCTTTAACGAGAGTTTCACAAAATTTGCCTTTTTAAACTCCTGCAAATTGCAGCTGACAGGGTTGGGGTTTTTTTAAAAACCAAACTTGTAATATTAAACTGAAATTTATACTGTATTTGGAAAAAAGCAAAACTTAACTTCTGTTATTCAGTAGTTTTAAGAAAAACTTTTTTTTTTTTTTTCAGCTGGGACTGCAACAACTCTTTATCAGTTCCTAAAAGAAAGCTGTAATTCGTCTATAAATGCAGATGTGAGCATATTCCCAGGTAAATATAATCGTGTACGGTAAGGTAAGGCAAATTTTATCAAGGAATTGGCCTAGGCACATTTTGTGATCTAGGTGACACAAGTCAGAAACTTACAGAAAGCCAGTTTCTGCAGTGTGCTCAATCTGGAGGTGGGACTGCTTCTGCTGCTACTGTTTCTGTGGAGAACCGATGTTCATTTCAGCAGCTGATGTGGTAGGAGGTGATTAAATAGACTGGACACAAGAAACGAAAGAGAAGAGTTTTGCAAGGCTGACAAATTTCAATCCAGCTTAGCAAGGAAGAGTAGGAAGGGGCTTGTTTCTCATGTCAGTGGGCAGCTTGATATTTTCATTACTCTGATGTCTGATTTTTTTGGTGGAAGCAATATTTCTTTGTTGGGTATCAATTCAGAACCCTAATCCATGAATATTTATTAAGTCATTATATCATCTTAAAATAGATTTCTGAAGATCTGGTTTAATACTTTTAGAGGTTGCGTGTTTGGCGCTTTTTTGTTTAAATAATGTTTCCTTAGTTCTTTAGTTGGTTTAGACATCTAGTGTTAAGTTCTTAAGGCTCATCTTGTCACAGCTGTCATATAATCGTGATTCATGTGGGGAAACCCCTGTAAGCTGTTAAAATTCATGAAGATGGGAATGTTTAAGCTGTTTTCAAATTAAGTGATTTTTATTGCATAGGAATGTTGCGAACTGCCTAAGCCGTATTTACGAAGGTTGTGATTTAGTTCAGGTATGATACAACTCCTGCAAATGGAGAGCAATATTGCCCAGAATGGAGAAGCAGTCAAAGATTTTCTTACTTATTAAGTCAGCAGATCAGTAATAGACACTTGCCAAGGCACTTAACTGCACCTTAGTATGTTTAGAACTTGTTTATGAGGACAAAGGGAAGTAGAACTCAAGTCATTGTGGCACGTTAAATGACTTGCATAGGGTCTTTCAACAGAGATGTTCATTATAGAAGAATAGATTGTAGTGGATTGATTATTTTAAATAATCATTTTATTTCTTTGCAGCGTGTTCCGTGGCTGGTATTCCAGGTGTAAAGAAATGGTATTTTGCCAGTCATGTTATACGCGGTTATTATCAGGTAAGACTTTTGTTTGTTTGTTTTTCAGAATGTAAGTTCCTCAACTGTCTGCCTGTCTCTAGTGGAAGTTAAAACTGTGATGTTCAAAATTCTTTTTGCTTAATTAATTCTTTGTGCTTGGTTAGTTTTGCAGTTCTGACTGGGAGGAAATAAATTTTGACACACAGGAAAATGAAGACTCTCTCCAAACAAGTATTGACGAATGCCTAGGAGCCATACAGAATTTTGAGGAAGATGACAATAACAGTAGAGAGTCGCTGTCTATGACTGAGTATGCATATTATTATTTTTGTTGGAAGTACAGTGATCTGACATTTAACAATAATAACCCGAGGGGGATCAAGAAAATTTAGCAAGTAAAAGTTATTAACAAAGCAACAGTTAACTATGAACGATCCCCCACTACTACTAAAAATAATTCTATTTTGTTTAACATAGCTTTAATTTTTTTTAGCTACAGCTGATTTTTACAGAATAACTGAACAGTTTCCTAACAGCTGATGGTTAGATACACAAAAAGAAGTTTCTTGTTTATCCGTTTTGAATCCTACTTCCAGTTTTAGTGCAGATTGTTTTGAAGTCATTTAGCCTGCTTCTGCCTCAGTAAAAGGGGAGATAAGTATACCTCATTGCCTAGGTATGTTTGGGCAGAATTCTAAAGATATAAGATACCTCAATCAACTAGTATTCATTAGTTGTAATGTTTTGTTTCTAAATGACTTTGTTTGCATTTTGTTCCAACCATGTTGCTCTTTATTTTCAGTATCTATGATGAAGCTGCAGAAAGTTTGCATCAACTAGCTGATAAACTGCCTGCCCCAGGTAATCGCTTTTAAAAAAAACAATCTCATTTGAATTTATTTTGTTAGTTATTACTCTAAAAACTCCTGCTAGTAAAATACAAAACTTAACATGCAACCACAGGAAATTTTTATGAAAAAAATGGAAGGTGATGACATCAGGCTTACATCTGGTTTGCTAGCTGATTGCTTGTGGGTGGGAGCCAAGAAGCTATGGAGGAACATAGGTCAGGACTATCGGATTCAGATTTTGTACCCTGGAGACGCAGATCACCTGACATGTTAGGGTTACATAATGCTGCAGTTGATTTGGGATAGTAAAGGAACTGAATGCAGAAAGAATGAGAAATAGCAGTTTAGAGGTGTTAAAAGGAGGGAAATGTCATGGCGTAGTTGTACTGGAGACAACTCTGATTTGTCAGATACAGTGCTGAGAGAGGAGAAAGTTATAGTGGTGTACCTGAGGGAATGGCAAAATATTTTGTATTAATCTAAGAGAGGTAGCGAGAGATGAGCTAGAATATGTGAAAAGTCTTTTAAATCTTGCTGAAGTTGCTTGATCTTTAAGCCCATTTTAGTGCAGTCAGTGATAATCAGGACTTTTCTATTTTTAAATGACTGATCATTTACTGAATAATGGTGCTTTGAGCCATCTATAACTGTTTTTATAGGCAGAGCAATGGTGGATGTAATACTGCAGGCTGTTGAACAAGATGGACCCAAGTTAAAAGACTGCTTACCTGCTATCGGTGCCCTGAAACACCTGAGAGAATGGCACTCTGCACAAATCACTATTGCAGCAAATGACTCTAAAAGGTATGCCAGTTGTCTACAGCAAGGTCACTCTTGATTTGTGTTAGTGTGTGTCAGTCGTTTAAAATAAAAACAGCATCTTGAGCGCTTTGCATGGATATCTTGAAAATACGTAGATTTGTCTTCTGTTATTGTTTGAGGAGAGGAATTACTCATGCTGATTAATTGTAAATGCATGCCCTAACCAGAGGGGCAGGCAAAAAAGCAAGTCCTCTGAAGTTCCTGTTTCTGTGAGACTAGAAGGTAAAATATTTTCTCTTCGATCACTAGTGGCTTCAGTGTGCATATGATGTTTTGAAGTTGTGCTGTGCTACGTAATAACTTGTATTGATTGTAGTTTTCAAGTTTTTGTAAAATGAATACATAGCTGCTAGTTTTACTTTAAATACTTGTGTTACTTTTGATATTACATTTCAGAGAAGAAAAAAAGTGTCTGATTTGTCCCTTTCGAAAATAGAGTATAAATGTTCCCTTACTTCCTGACTGCTTCTGAAGAGTCCTAATGCTGAAACTATTAATTCGATTTGAAATTAAGTCCAGTAATTTTGTTACTGTCCTCCTTTGATTGACAAAAGTAGGCCATGATATGTCTCACTATAAACTACAGTGGTTTGGGTTTTTTTCCTCCCTGAGCGGTAAATTATTGTGTGGATATTAAATAACTTGGCAAGGTCTCCTTCGCTTCGCCTCTCCAACAAAAAGATACAAATTTGCTTCCTAAAATATGTGGCTGAGCTTTATCCTAAATTAATAAAACTGTTTAAAATTAAAAAGGTGAATGCTCAGTCCTTGGATAGAATGAGCAATATACCTACTGCATAGCACTTCCTGAGGTATACGGAGGAAGATAAACTTACTGCAGTGACTTCCGTGAGTGCTCATTGATACCTTCCTGTGCAGCCAGCTTCTGGCTGAATACGTTTTTCTGCTGCCTTTTACGTAGAAGGAGGCCATTTGGGCATACAGCTTCTCTGATGAAAGTTCTGTCACTTCCTTCTTCTGTTCTGCTGATGGTGCCGATTTCTCTTAGAAGACAGACTGCCAGTAGGACCCACCAATACCGGCTGTTCTCTCTGGCTGTTGTTGAACTTGGTTAATACATGTGCTGCAGTCACAGCTCTACTTGCAAGGCTAACTACAAACCATCTAGGTGGGCCAGTGATAGCCACAGTGATCACTGCCTGGCTTTGCTTCAGCTCCTAGCACACAACCTTGCTATGGTATGCCTGCAGTTTGCCATTGCCAGTCTTATTTGATGTCTGACAAAGTTCTTTGTCACATTCATGGAGCATATGAGCACCTTCCTTTACAGAGCCTGAACTAGCAATTCTAGAATATTTTTCACTGTGTGGAATATAAAACTATATTTGACTTTCTTAACATACACAAGACTATTCAGTGCTAAGAGATAATAGGTAGATTCAGTCACATGGCACTGCATGTTAATTTGTAATACTATATTTGGTAAGATTAATTCTTCCTTATTTTTACAGCAGCTGGCAAAAGATTGCAGACTATCTCTCAGCAGACTTTGTATCTTCAGATAATGTCATGAATATTATTGATTTAAAAGAACTCTGGAGAGGAAAGATTCAGATATGGGAAAGAAAGGTAAAACAACTTTTTTTTAGCTATGGTTATTTTTTCAAGGCACCTGTGTACATCATTTAAAGCATGTAGTGTACAGTGCATTTTATGCTTTAAGCCAAATTTGGTTTTGCCAAAGTAATTCCAAGAGGTAATGCGCAACATATCTGGGTGAGTGGGGGAACAACCTGCTTTTTGGCATGATGAAAGGATGAGATCAAGGCATCAAGATTGAATTTCAGAAATCCAGATGCTCTTCTCTGAAATATTTGCCTTAGAACTGCTTGTTCAAAATTAGATTGTTTTGTATCTGTCACAAATCATTAACACATGACTCTACAAGTCATGGTTGCAAGCACATGTCTAATGTTTCTGCAAAGACCGGTAGCTTTGTGATTGTGAAAGACAGTGTTTACATTTTCAGCATTAAGGTTTTGGATATAGTAGTTGGTTATCTGAGTTTAATATTTGTACCTAGTTTTACAGGTCTGCTGGAAACAAATAGACTAATTGTTTAAAATAGTAATACACGTAACGGGCTGGAGAGAAATAATTTTTCTCTCTCTTTTGATACGTTTTTTGTCCCTTCCCCCTCCCCTCCCCAGTTTGGATCAGAAGTTAGCTTTCCAGAATTCTGTATGAAGAGCACTTCAGTAAAGACATTCAGCACTCCACATTTCGGTTCTCACTTTGCTGTTAAAAAAGAGCAACAATCCAGGAATACAGATGCTTTGCCAGAGGTAAGTATTCTTGATCTTTCTTTGAGCCACTAGAATTCATCTGTTTTAGTTTCCTAAGAAAATTAGTAATTGGGGAAACATTAGTCAGAACTGAAAATTAAACATAAAAGTAATGATTGCATAAGATTGAGGAATACTTCTTTTGTTCATGTGTGTTCTCAAAACAGGGCCTTAAAAGTTCATCCGTTTGTTCTTAGGAATGTGATACCAAAATTTTTTTCAAGTAGAAATTGAGGCTTCGTTCAATCTTAATACTCAAAATATGTAATGTATTTAGTAATTCTGTATTTATCTAACCTTTTCTACTTCATTTTAGAAGTTTGGTTTATTTTTGTTTTGTTTTGGTTTTTTTTAAATACTGTTGCTGTTTCATGTCTTCCACATGAAGGTGGAAAGTAGGTACTCAGTGGAAACTCCAGAATCTTATTTGTTGATGAAAGCAAAAATGAGTGTTTATGAAAACCAGTATCAGTTAAGAGATTGTTATTGTAATTGTTAAAACACGTACATTTTGGATTGCGTTCATCTGTTACTGGTAGATCTTATTTTTCTTTGAATTTGGATAAGAGTTACAACTCACTTGATGCATGTGGTTGACGTCCTAGAAAGTAAATTTTATTAAACAGAATTATTTTTTGTATCGTTATGGTATTGTGAAATGTTTTTCTCTTTCTATTGCTTTATACTTTTCAGGTGTTCTTGTAAGGCAAGTGCCTCCAGGCAAGCACTTGAGGAAGTTCTACTGAGATAACATCATATGTAGTGTTAAGATTATTTGATTTGATCTCTTTTTTTTCAGATTTTTCATTACTATGGTCCTGCACTAGAATTTTTACAGATGGTGGTGCTCTCTGATCTACCTTCCTTTTTTATATCGGATCTGGAATTCGAGCTGTATCCTTTTTCAAGGAACTAAACTACTACTGATAATGGTCTGTAGCAGAAAGAAAACAATCAGGATCTACCCATGCAAGCAACACATGAGGATTGACAAGGGCTCATTCCATTCTAGCCTACCAAAATAGTCACAGTGATTCTTCACAACTGTTTTTTTTAATTTTGAGATTTAAATTACACTAACAATAACCAGCTGTTTCTGATGTTATTGCACATACACTTTGTTGATGTATATGCTATTTGTTGGTAAAGAATAGAGAAATATTTGCTGCTGTGTAAGTTTAAAAAAAAAAACCCGAAGCCTGACTTATTAATGCGTATAGTGCTTTACAATATAGAAACATCTTTCTACAAATCATGTTTTTATTGTGTAGGTGCAAAATCTGTGGCAAGGTATAGCAGAGGAGTTTTCTCTTGAGTTGTGTGTGCTGCAGAGATCTCAAGGTGTCTTCCTGTTGGTTTTAAATTTATGTACTTCTGGTACTAGTCTTGATGTAACAATGGTAGCCTAGGCTGTATAAGCCTGCCAGGATTTTTAATATATAAATATCTGTTTATGCCTGCCTGTATTAAAGATGTCAGTGGTGTATTTCATCATCATAACATTTCCAAGTGTGCAACTTTGCCTGGCAAGGTGAGTTTCCTATATTTTGTGGTACTGGAGTAACAGGTATTGGACATTTGCAGTCCTTATTTGAAATATGATGGTAACGTGATTTGTAAAACAGAGATGCATCCAGTCCTTTGTGAAGATGAGGTTCCTTAACCTGTTCTATTCAGGAGCCTGGCAAGGAAGAGTATCAAGGAGACCTCCGTGCTGCTTTTGGACCAGATTTCTTCTCTCTCTGGGGAGGTAAAACCTTTTTATTTAGGTAGTAGAAAAATTAAGATATGTATATGGCTCTTAAAAGATACGAGATTAGTATTTTTAAACATAGTCTCTGTGTAAGCTCCTTCAGTATTTAGTTGTAAAGGAAATTTGGGGTTCAAAGTTGCATGCTATACAGGTCCTGACAATTTGTAAGCCCACTGAACATTTTACTCTTTACCTTAGCTAAGTTTCTGTCTCCTAAAACACTTTGTAACTTTTAGCTCTACCCTGACAGATAATTTCTGTGCTGTCATAATTCAACTTTTTTTTTAGCAAAAAGCAGGCATGTGTGCAGCCTACAAAATGTATCTAGCTAGTCTGAAGTGGTAAGCTTTTTTTATTTTGCATGTGCATGTTCTGCTTTTCCATTCTGATTATGGATAAAAAGAGCTCTTGAAACATTTACAAGCCTGCTCTGTTTTCTCCCCCGCCCCCCCCCCCCCCTTGTAATGTTAGTATGATTATTCATAGCCACAGTATTAGTTTGAAGATGTTTTTCCTGAATGTTTAAGGTGATGTATGCTTGTTTAGGAAAGTGGAGGATTTTTAGTGTTTATAAAATAAATCTATGCCAATCAAAACAGAACCTGCAATGTGAAAATGCTGATACAGTTACAATGAATAACTTATGTTCTTTATTTACTGTGGAGGTGCTATTCCATTGTCAGGCTGTATGGTTCATCTTCAGCTTGTTATTCATGTTTTTAGAAACTTTTCTTCCCCTGCCGCTCTATCTGCATTACGCTTAGCCAGAAAATAAGTCCTTTTTCTAATGTTGTACCAAAAATATCTTTTGGAGTAGTTTTATATGGGTAAATTTCCCAGGTAATTTTTGTTTTACATGAGGATACTGAACATTTGGTCAGTATCTTTTACAATCTAAGAGCTGGCGTTTCTAGTAGTTCTTTTAAAGAAAAAGCCTAAACAGTTAAAACACATTCTCAGGCTGCTTTTTAGAGGCTGCACATGTTGAATTGAATGTGTTTTCAAAACAACAATTTCTTGTAGGGTTTTTTTTCAGTCTATTACTGGAAATATTATGCATCTGTAGGCTTTTCTAATAGTTGTAAAAGCATTGCTTTATTCCTTGAGTATTCAAATACTTGCGCATTTCTTTCTATTAGTGCTTATTGGCCTGAAATTTATGTACAGACACAAACGTATTCCAGTATCTGATTAACTGAAAAGGACAGTATGTAGGGAGGAAAAAACTACATGTTTTTCAAGGGAATGCCAAGTCACTGATGCCAACTATATCTTTGAATTCTCTTTTCGTTCTGGATACTAGTCTACAGAAGTGTTTTTAGCCAGATTATTGGAAGAGTTATAAGAGATAACAAATACCTTTTTATGTATGAAATAGAAATTCAGCAGTTAATGATCTCTCAACTGGAGCAAAAAATAAGCCAAATTTTTACAGCTTCTGTGTCAAATGCTGTTCCATCTCAATTGATGTGAATAACAGAAGTGTTACGTAAAGAAAAGATGTTTTTCTTCAATTGAAGTACATATGAAAAAATGCCAAATCAGTAGCTGAAAGATGAAATGTAAAACAGGTTTCGGTAATATTGCACGTATTGTATTTGCTCTCATTATTTAGGTGGGAGCTTTATTTACATTGCCATGTAATGTAAGCAGTGTAGTGATCCCATCCCCTGCCCAGCTGAGTACCAAGAAATGGAAGGAATATATGGCTAGGAAACCCAAGGTGATTACTGGTAGGTAAAAGGAAGATGACTTCAGGTATATTTTTGTTGGCTTTTTATCTATATGTGTATGTATGTATGTGTATATGTGTACGTATATATATGTATTGTATATATGGTGGGGTTTTTCTCTACATTTGAGATGCACTTTTTTTCTCTCCCATGAAATTAAGTCAGTGATTTTAATCAAAAGGTTTTGGTTAATGTGAGTTCAGCTACGCAGACTTGTAGAGGACAATAGATAACAACATCATGGCAAGCTTTAGGGAAACAAGACATCTCCTTTAAACCATTTCTGTGTCCTATCTGTCAGCTAAGATCCAGCTTCCACACTCCCTTCTAAGGTGATTGTACAATCCATGGGCAAAGAGGTTTGCTTCTGCAGATGGAAATCCAGTGTGCTTCACTTAGGTGTTCCCTTCTCACTTGAGCACTTCCAGAGGTTCTTCAGTGCACGTGCATTTGATTTCAGCCTCTTCCCAGGAAAATACAGAACATCAGGAGCACTGGATGCTTTCATGCACCTGAAAGCCAGTGTGCTTAAGTAGCAATTGAGAATGTGCTCCTTCTTCCTTATGGAGCTGTACCAATGGCAGCTGACTCCTCCAGTGTGCCAACGCTCGGGAATTCGCTTCAGAGAGATCAGAATCTGTGCAGATCAAGACTGGGCAGAGTTTCTCAGTCAGTCAGTATATATGCCCTGCAAGTGGAGGCACTGTACAAGTAGTGACTGAGGTTTGTAGGGATGTCAAAACATCAGGAGCTTGGTGATAGCCCTGTGCTTAACGTACTTACCTAGGACAGGATAAGATGTAGGCTTCTGCCTTCTTATATGGGTTTGTTGTTTATACAGTGGTCTAATGGATAATTCATGCAGATTCCAAGGAACAGTGACTTCTGTTGCCAACTGAAGACAGTTTGTAAACAAGTACGCAGATGAAGATAACTGATACGCTTTCGGGTTTTGGGATAGGCAAGAAATTGAGAGTAATTAGGAAGAGCTGCGTAACAGGGCAAGAAGCTTAATTCCATGGAGTGGGTGCTGTCAGTATATAGATTTAAAATGATCTGCATGTTTGGAGCTGGTAGAGCAGAGAGGATGCGATTATAGAGCTGGTAACAGCAGCAGCAGCATTTCTGCTGCATTGGAGAGATACTACGGATGCAGTCAAATGAGTACAAGATGCCCAATGTCTGCAAGATCTTTTTTGTCCTGTGCTCCAGTGGAAGGGTTTTGTACAAGTTTTAGCTAGAATGTGATCGGTAATACACAAGAGGTTCTTATTAGGCTTCTTGAGCAAAATTCAGAATAGGAGAAGTGTGGCCGTTTAAACGTATTTGCTTATTTAGTTGAAAACTATTTATTTTTTAGTGGCTACCGCTAATCTGACCATATTAAGGATTTGCAAATCCTTAGTCTTTTCAATCTGTGGGAAGGTGTAATTCTTTGAATTGGTAGTTCTCAAATACTAATTAAGATTAAAATGAGAAATAAAAGCTTTACCGTGAGGAATCAGCTTTGAAATGCCAAGATAAACTGGAAAAGGAAAATATTTCAAATGACTAGGGGGAACAGGGGACAGGACAGTAGTGAAAATGTGTCTGGAATCTTTTTTTCTTTCTTGTTCTCATCTTTCTTTTTTTCCATGGATATATGTATTGAGGTAGTGGGATTTCCCTTCTCTTCCCTTCCCCCTCCAACTTCAACTTTTCAAGAAACACTGGAATACTTTATTATGAATTTTTGATAGTAAAAAATATACTAATAAATGTCAAGTTCTTGAGTTATTTATTGAGACAGTACTGCAAATATCTTAAAGTCAGTGATTTGACTTTTAAAACTTAGTACATCAAGAAGTATTCATTCTCTCAATTTCTACATCTACCAAGGTGCTATAAAATGTTTTCTGTTTGAAAAGACAGCAAACTCATCTTTTCACTGTTCCTATCAAATCTTACATTAATTTATTTTCAAAACTGCACACTGTATGCCAGTGTTTAAAATAGAATGTGTTTGTCTCACTCAGGCTATACACATGTGTAAAGCAGTGAGTGAAACTTGTTAATGAATGAATAATGCAGCTTCCTTGGGAAGAGTGTGTACAGTATTTCCTTTTCCTCTGCGGGTACATGTTCTTCCAGTGACCACTAACCGTTGTTTCAGTCCACGTATGCAAAAATGCCTGGTTTTCCCTAGCAGAACAGACCCTTCTCTAGCCATTACGTATGGACCACGCTGTTTGCCGAACTCGTCATTGTTTCATGGTAGAAATGTCACTTTGCCAGTTCAAGGCTTGCCTTTTACTAAGACCAGTTAAAGAACTTCTCTTGGTTGGTGGTTGGTGTTTCCAGATGTGCTTTGAAGCCAGCAGCGTAGTCCAGCACATCTTTGCTGCTGTAGCTCTTCAGTGGGTAGCTTTTCCAGGGGTGAATGTCAGCTGTACTTGGTGTGTCTCCTGGAAAGATGTTAGTAAGATTTCTCACCCAACAGAAGAGAGCAAGTGAAAGAATGTTGATGGCGGACTGTAGCTTGTTCTAAAGCTGTTTCCCTGAGGGTATTTCACAGTTACGTCCTGGTGTTTTTTAAGTTCCAGAAATTGAACTGAAAGGAGAATCTTGCCGATATTATTTCTTACTACAAGGCAACGGCTCTGGAGGATGTAAAGCAACCTTGATTCATTCAGCTAGCCAGGTCAATGGTATGGCCACTCTTGCTGCAGTAAATGGAAAGCTAAAAACAAAAGCAGAAGAAACAGAGACAAGTAAGAGTTATTACTTACTTATTTAGGAGTATCTGAATGCAGACAAATGCTACTAAAATGTATATGTTCTTTCTATTCATTCCACTCTGTTAAAAGGGAGAAAACAAGGAATATTACATTTTGATGAATGTCTCTATTCTTTCAGCAATATTTTTTCAAACTGTTAAAAATATAAGATGAGCCTATTTATTCACACAATTTACTATTACCATATATTTTAAATTGACTACATAAAGTTGTAGTCAGCCATTTCTCATAACTGATTAGTTGTAAATGTTTTAAAGTACAAGGACATCCAGGTAATATTTAATGCAAATCAAATTTGCAAAACCTAAAAGTTTAAAAAGATGTGTTGTTGGTGTTAAAGACTGACTAGCCCATGCCTAAAATCTAGGCAATTATCTATTGACAAGCCTGTTTCACTGATGATTTAGAACAAAAACTGCAGGGCCACCAGGCGAGTTGAATTTCATGGTCATGGCTTCAGTTACTTTGCAGATGTCCATATTACTGCAGAGTCGTTTGGGTATGAGCTAGCGCTGCTGTCATAGCTGCTCCACTGGGTAAGAGCATGCACGTAGGCACGTATCTTGGAGTAGTTGTCCTGTTACAGCTACGCGTACTAGATAACTCTGCTAAGTCGTGTATTTGCTCTCAGTAACGCTGACAAAGAAGAGCACAGTGACCTGCTTCTTACCCACTTATTTCCTTATTATTGAAATAAATCTGTGTGCAGAATGATTGACTGCTTACCATTTGTCCTAATTAAAATCCCATTAGTACTGTGTCAGAAGACTGAAAGTCCTTGACCATATGTTGGGAGAAAACTTTTCTTTCCTGGTATCAAACTTAGGATCTTTTTACCTTCTTTAAATGTCAGTCATGTTAATTGTGTTGTCATTGTGTTGGTTTTGTACAGAAATTAAAAAATACTGGTCAGACATCTATTTCGAGTTATCCCCCTGGTGATTAATTGTATTTAACTTTCTTTTTTCTTTTTTTTAATGGTTATCCATATTGGAAAATCTGGTTGTTTCCTTTGAATATGAAATTTGTATGTCTGCTATGTTTATGTCTTTTAAGAAGTAATGACTTAGTCTCTCCAGAGTCCTATGAGGGAATCTTAATAAATTTCTCCTAATCTGTACAGGCTTTGATATTGCAGACTTCATGAAGTGTCTGCCACGTTTTTGTGGAAAGGAGATTGTACAGAGGGAAAAGAAACTGCGTCATCTGGAAGTGTTTGCCTTGAAGGAGTATCTCAGTAAGTAATGGCAGAGCACTGGTAGTTCTCAAACTACTATTTAAAAGGTCTTTATTTCAAAATTATTGTGGTGGCTCACCTTCCAAAACCAGGGTGAGTTGATCACTTTGTGAAGAAAAAAGTGGAACTTTATAAAGAAACTTTGTGTAGTATATCCATGATTGTGTGGCAAATAATGACCTTAAGTTTGTGGGTGTTTTGCACTAATACTCTGAATGTTTGAGCGTAGTTCTGGAATAATTCTGTGGTAATTAACTTTTTCTCTGCCTTTTTTTTAATGCTTTTTTTCCTGAAAACTCTTAATGCTGAATGTGCCTTCTATAAAATAAGCGTTCTGTTTTGGCGTTTCCAGGGTTCTTGTTTGGTTTGTTTTGTTTTTTTTATTCTTTCTTGCAAAAGTCTTAAACAGCAGAGGAGAAGTATGCATTGTTACATTTATCATGAGACATCATTCATAATAATAACCGAAAAGTCATTGTCTGTAGATTTTCGTGACTTTGTAGAGAAGTTCATTTGACTGTCCTGATTTTTTCTAAGTCCATTGCTCAAAGAGACTCAATTAAAAAAAAATGCTTCTAAGAGATTGGCTAGATTATTGAAAATGGCATACTGTGAAGATAATTTAAGTGTGTTATCATTAACAGAATACCAGCTTAAGGAAAATAAAAGATTTCTGCTAATAGTCTTGTCTTCCACCCCCGACCCCTGCCAACTTGAAGTCATTCTCAGATTCCTGCCTACTTTAACTCTGAGCTTGGTGCTGCTTTAGAGCTTGTGTTTTAGTTTGACGGGGTCACCCGTTTCCACTAGGATGAAGACTGAATAGGAGCAGTTGGGATTTGCTAGTCGTCCTAAATCATGTCAGAATTACCTGACCCTTGATATTCTGACCAGAGAGTCCAGACCAGGCTGTCAGTTATAGTGGAGCCACACTCCTGCAACAGCAGTTAAATTGATGGGTGGAAGGCTCAGCAGACTGGAGCTTTTCATGTTTAGGCTCAGCAAGTCCAGATGGTTGTCTCTGGGGGATTCAAACCCGGATATCCTCACAAATGCACATAAATTAAAGGACTGTAAAACATGTGATTTCAGCTTTTCTCACTGCTAGGTTTTTTCAGTTGCCTGTGGAATAAACCACCCTTGCTCAAGGGCACGATAGTAAATGTCAAATTAACTTACTTGTGTAAGTGTCAAATTAACTTACTGGTGTTCTTGTTTTGGGGTGGGGATTTTCTTGTTTCATTGATTATTAGCGGGCTCCAGTTACTGTTTGTTACTTAGCAGGTTCAGTCGCTTGCTTTCTTTTTCCTTTTATAGAGAGAAAGGAATTGACCGAGCAGCCTCCAGTTATTTCTGCTGATGAGTTCAAGAACTTGTTAGAACTTACAAGGGAATGTTTTTTGGGCCTGTGTGACACTAGGCTTCCTAAACCTGTTCTACAGAAAGTTGCCAGTAAAACTAGGTCAGGCACTGTGACTTCTGGTAAGTATTATTTAAAAAATACACTGCTTATTCTCTTTTGATGTATTTTCACACCTGTTGTCAATTTTTTACTAAAAGGAGGAGGGTCTTTTACCAGAAAGAGAAAAATAGAAGGAAAAGTAAAGTAGCTTTCTAGAGTTTTTTGCAAACTGAAATTACCCTCACAGTAACGATTTCCTTTCTTTTCCTTGACAAAAAAATTATGCAGAAAATGTTTCTGATCACAGCACCGGGCAGATGTGGCTTATATTTATGTACTTATATGTAAAGGAATATATATATATATAAAAAAAAAAAAATAAAGGAGTTTATATATATATGTATCTATTTCTTTAAAGAATAAGGTTAATTATTTCTACTCAGCGTTATCCACCATATATTTCTTGCAGAATCTGATTTAATGGAGCAAAATCCATTGGAGTGGCCAGAAAGACATGTTCTTCAGAATTTGGAAAACTTTGAAAAAAACAAACAAAAAATGAGGTAATGGTTAAATACTGGAGATTTGCTTTGTAGTGGCCATTGAACGTCACTCTAGGATGTGTGTATGGAACTGTGAATGTTGATCGCCGTTCTGTAAACTCTTTTCAAATATGTTGATGATATTTCAGAGGACCATTGCCTAAGGCTAAAACTAAGTTTCTGTCAATTTCCAAAGGTGTATTTTCTTGGTGTTTAAAGTAGTATTCTTTTGATCTTTATTAACAAAAGGCAACTGAAAGTTAGCTAAACATAAGAGTTCCAAAACTCAATTACCAAATTGGCACTACTAGAAAATAGTAGCCATAGCAGAAAACCATACAAAAGCTTTTTTTTTTTTCCCTCCCAACATGTCCTGGGGCATAAATAATAAAGATAATACAGCAGTTTTTGTCAGCATGTATGGTGTGTTTCTAATCTCTTATTTCCTAAATAGTCAGTACTTAATATCAGGTCTTGAGTAACTATTACGTAGAAGATCCTATTGGTTTTATGTTTGAAATTTATATTTAGTTTTGTTTTTCCTTCAGTGCTGTTTAAGTGAGATCTTTGTGTCACTTAATGCAGCCTATTGATTTCCGTTTAGCTCTCACTTTATATAGAGACTTAATGATTTTTGCTGGGTCTTAACATTTTTGCTGACAGACCTGTAGAGCCAGGTGTCCAACAGCCTTTTCCTTAGTCACTTCCATCCCATTTCTGTCTTTCAAACACGATAGTTGGTCATGGCCTACATTGGAGTTCTGCATGTCAGAAATTCTCACATTAGATCTCTGCTTTCTCATGGGTGGTACTATTATTATTATTATTGGCTTTTGTTTCTCAAACAGGTAAAGTTCTTCCTTCTAATTAGCTTTTGAAAATCTTCCTGGAGGCCCTTTTTGTTTCACCGGCAGTTAATGTTCGTTTCATTGTATTCTGAACTGGTGATCTTCTGCTTCTCCTGAATCATTGTACAGCATGTTGCTTAACCGTAGAAAAGAGAGGACTTTGCTATACTTGATTGAGGACACTTAAAAAAAAAAAAAAGTGGAGAGTTGCACGTAGTAGTGGCTTTATGGTTCCTTTGCTACATATTGTACAGCTCTTTTTTGGTTTTGGTGCTTGTTTTGGTGTTTTTGTTTTTTTTTCAGAATGGGAATTAATTTTTGATCCTACAGGTCCATAAATGGAAATAGAGTAATACTCTTCCCATGTTGTATGTCATAATTAAGCTCTAAAATCTTGAAGAAATTACTTTTTTCAGTAGGATGGTAGAGAATTTGCATCAAATATCAAATATACTTTATCATGAACATCTGTGTAAGTGTTCTCAAGGAGCAACCTTGTTCATTTTACTTTGGAAATATGTTTAATTGCTCCAGATGAGCAGTGATTTTTTTGTTTGTTTGTTTTCTAATACAATGAGGTTACTACATTGAAAAGGAAAATATCTTACATTGGTCTCTTTTTTTACTTTTCCTCTTTTCAGAGTTTCTATGTTTGCGCATTCATCTGAGCAGTTGCTGGGACATAAAGATAGCCAGCGGGAGTCATTGACATTGCTCGATGCTAAAGAATTACTGAAATATTTCACACCAGAAGGGTTACCAGTTGGTGATCTTCAGCCACTACAAATCCCCAAACGGTATGAATCCAGCATATTATAACCACTGAAGCCCATACTCAGAACTGATGTAGGGGAATATGAGTAATGACTAAGAGTCTCGGAGCGGCTTAACTGGATTTGAGTTTGTAACTTGCGACATCCTTGCATCACGTGCCTGCTGGTGAAATCAACTGTTATGGTCCTCCAGTCAGTCTTGCTATTCAGTTCTTTCAGAATCTGAAATGGCTGGAGGCCATCATGTTGGTCCTCTGCATTTAAATAACAAAACAATCACCTGATGCACCAAAGTGTCGTGGTAGACCTTTGCCATGGCTATGCTACGAGCTGCCACCACCATACGTGTCCGTTTCCAAGAGAGTATTGCTTGCAAAGCAGAAACTACTGTGGCAGAACTTGAATTTTATTGGTGTGATTTCTCTCATTCAGTGGAGGCAAGACTGGGTGGGAAGACAAAAGTGTGAAAAAGGCAATAGCTGAGCCTGGTTTGAGTGTTTGTCTCGCGTCATGCTGACCCCAGCTATATGCTTACGTGGTGAAGCGCTCCTCAGAGGAACCTTGTCTACTCTGACTGCTTTGCAAGTATTCATCCTTAGTGTGATAGTAACTGTTACTGTATTAACCAC